GGGCAGACAGTGTTTAGAATGTTAGTGTTTCCACCTCTCCCACTCCCCCAGTGAGAAGAGTAAGATTTTGAAATTGTACTTCCTTTTTATATCTGGGTAGAATACTGTTCTGGGAAGAATAACTCAGGATACTCCTTTCCTGCCAAAAAGCACACTTGGCAACTGTATTTTCTTGCTAGTCCATAAAATATATATGTGACTTTTCCAGTGGATAAAACTGTTTACTCAGACACTAGTTTAAGGCCTACTCCAAAATGTAACCAAAACAGCAGATCTCTCTTGTAAGCACTATGTTTGCAATATGGCCAATACAGCCCTGTTTGAATTATCTTCTGAACTATGTCCTGACTTTGTGCAATTGCAAGGGATGGGTAGTAGGTGACAGTGGGGATAGGCATTATATTTTTGCCATATAAGAAAACGCGAAAGAGACCTTTGGAAGAGGTTGCTTGTAGAACTGAATGTTATAAAAGAGAAAAGTAAGAACTATGAAATGGCAGCTGGTGGAAGGGGAAGGTTACCTTGTTTGCACAAGCTGCATAAATGCTCGAGCATTTCAAGAGGGAAGAATACAGCTTCTACATCATTTATGTATTTTTAAGCAGATAAAAATCTTACAGTGACACAGATGCAGAAAAATGAATTGCTCAGAGAGAGAGAGAGAGTGTGCTTACAAGAGAGATTTAGGTCACACCCTGACATCTGGTAAATCATTGCCTTCATTATGGGCTTGTAGGTCACAGCTAAAAATCATTTTACTAATTTAATATCAAAGGATTCAACATTAGGTGTGGTAGAGAAAATTGAGTTTAAAAGAAGAAAGTATGCCAAGAGGCTTGCAATCTTTAAACATTTCCCAGGAGTGCAATAAGAGAAGAAAAAGGGGCACAAGAAAAGGGAAGGGTAAGCAGGAGAGATTCAAGGTTATATATCTGGTGCAGAGAACCATTTTCAGATACAGTTTATTCAAAGAAGTTCTAAAGATACATTTTGTTGCAATTTTATGCATGCTGTTGAATCTAAGGGACAGGCAGACACATTTTATTACATACCTGTGTCACTCATACCACTTTTGGATTTTGCAGTCTGTGCAGCTAAGGACAGTCATGCACAGGAGTGAGCTTCCTCATGCATATTACTTGAACAAGAAAGGCAAGTGCAAACATACTCAATATCGGAATGAGCATCCAGGTGTCATTGCTGTAAATGGAAGTGCATTCATAGAAGCATCCCCATCTACATTTTAGAAGTAGTAATGTGTGAATATCCCTTTTGCCTGCAACACACGCTTGACTGGGATGCTTACATCTGTTTGCCCAGTGGGAACAAGGTGTAAACAATTGCAGAACCGAATCCCAGATTCTTGCAATTGCTGATCGGACAAGGCAGTGTGCAAAAGAATAATCAGTGTTAGTATTAAAGGGTAGTAAATACAGCACATGTGTGAAGTGATTGCGTGCACGCCTGTGTGTGCACGCAATCACTTCACACATGTGGTTTCCCCTGCTCCTTGGCTACGGCAGCCACCCCCCCTCCCCCAACACACATACCAGACATTCATACACTGTTCTGGAGAATCTCAGAATCCATGTTCGAGTGTCCCCAGAGACTGAAGGATGCTGCTTGCCTGCTTTATTTGTGCCTGTGGCTGTTACACAGGAAGCATGGGGAGCGGCAGTCTCTCCCTCCCTGTCCTCCCCCAGTGCATGAGCAGAAGTGATTCCACTCAACCAAGCAGATTTTTTTTTAGATGCAAGCCATTGTTAATGCAGTTCAGTGTTATGGAAAAGAAAAGAAAACAAAACGAAACCTTCTTTTATGCTTCCTAGCCTAGGGGCAAGGACCTTTTATATGCCACAGGCTACATGCCCTTGGGAATCATGTGTAGGAGGATGCATATCAGTGCTGAGCAGGGCTGAAGCCAAATGGGTGGGACCTCCTCTCTCTCTCTCTCTCTCTCTCTCTCTCTCTCTCTCTCTC